CAGAACACGGCCACACAGCCCAGAAGACCCACACCAGCCAAAGTATAAAACTACTTTAGGCCATAGCAGGTGGCAGCATCAAGCCAACTGTGTCTGATCTTGAAAAAGCTACAAAAGGTCAGACCTGATTAGTATTTGGATGGGGGAATCACCAGGAAAACTAAATTAGAGTAGGAAATCAAAAATGCCTAGAAGGCAGCAGTAGAAAATCACTTCCATATTGCTGCAAAGGAATCTAACAAATGTGTCCGTACAGTAATGAGTAGTTGAGTTCAGTTCAACTGAAAACCCTTTGTTCTTTACTTAGGTTTAAATTATTAAAAAACACAACTCAAAAGGGAAAAAAGGCGGGGATCAGGCCTGGTGACTCACTATTATTCTGTGATTGCTTGAATTGAAGGTATTTTGGTGTGGCTTTTATCCTTCTGAACAAAGCAACTTTAGCCATCTTAAAGAAAAACTGGGGAAATGTCTGATAGGGCATCATCATTAATTTTAGAAGCTGGCAAGTTAACTAAACATCTTACATGCCCACATACCGTTTTGGATGGCAGTTCATCTTTCTGCAAGAACGACCAGGCATTATTTGCCATTTGGACCCTAAATTTCCTATGTGGCAAATTCATGATATCCTGAATAATGAGTAGGAGTATGTAGGAGTTATCCTGCACTAGGACTACCCACTGAAAGGTCTGTTTGAAGCAGTGGCCAAGAGCATGTGTGATCAGCTTCAGCTGATATATCAGGTATGTGTCCCGATATCTACCAGTGGTTCATTAGTATCTCTATATGAAGAAGACCAACTGGAAATGGTAGTTGGTGAACAATATGGCAGTCAGAGTGGTTTCTGGCATTAGCTGCTGAGGGCACAGAATGTAAGATTTATGAGTTCTATGGTTCCCATTTTGTTTCCAGGCTAATGTTAATTGCTGATGTTTAGTCTTAAGTTTAATCACAAAATATTTAAGAGCCTATGTCTATATATTTCTTCCTATTCATTGCAACTGGAATTTTACTTCAGGATTACATTTTTTGTAGCATACATTGGAAAATCAGATTATAAATTTTGAAATAATAGAACCATAGCATATAAAACCATAGTCTAAGTATATGGATTAAAATAAAATACAAATTAAAACAGGTGTAGTTTACTTTTTCAAAATTCATTTAATTTTTGTTTATGCAGCCTTTATTCAGATTAATGCATGAACCTCAACTTATTGAGAATAATTTTTGTAAAATTTAACTTGCTTAGTCATTTAGCACATCAGACTCCCCAGTAAATGCTTTGACATATACAATGTAAATGTCAGTCACCTTATCTCAAAAACATTATCTCAAAACATTACTTTTCCTTGCAGAAAAGCAATAAACTTTGAGTCTTAAATATTACAGTGACAGAGTGAACTCTTGTGGTAATGAAAGGCAATGCTTCTTTGTTTTCTGCTTTGCTATGTTGAAAAGCTTTTTGTCTTTATACACAGGTTTCAGACTGAAATCCAGACAGTGAGCAAACAGTTTCCATGTGAGCCATTCAAGTTCTTGGAGCCAACGCTGAGGCTGGAGTACCGGGAGGCTCTGGCTATGCTTCGGGAAGCTGGAGTGGAGATGGGGGATGAAGACGACCTCAGGTATGATTTTACCAGGGAGGAGGAGTGCCATCTACTGGCAAACAGGGTACCAGTTTCTGGGATCCTGCTATTTCTGGATTTAGGAATTGGCTACCATTTTGCACCGAACAGAAAGACATTTAAATCTCTCTATAAAATAACACGTGTTCCCCTTGCAACAATTGGATCTCCATATTCCATGACATGGATAGAACTTCAGAGAGTAAGATTAGAACAAATCTGGAGTTACAGTAGGATCTTCTGAATCAGTCAAACCATGAATTATACAAATCAAAACATACATACAGTACATAACCCAAAATCGAATTTTTCAGAAACAAATACTTGATTTATCAGAAATGCTACTGATGATCTTCAAATTATGGGGAACTCTGTCAATTCTTTCTGACTCGTATATACATGTTCTGAGTAGATAGCAGCACTAGTTGATCTTGCCTCAGCTCAAGAGTTCAGCAGGATCAGACATGGCTAATACTTGGACTGAAGATTGTCAGGAAAAAATAGTGCTGTAGGAAGAATTAACAAAAAAAATCAGGGGAAGCAGGGAATCTAGTATGCTATATCTATGAGCATTCTGGCCAGGTTGCCCACTCCTTACTTCAACAAAATCTGAAGGGTCCCCATTACTTCTGATCCAATGTTTAATTTCTAGTTTGCTAGAGTTGAGTTAAAGCATTAAATGGCATTTTTTGAACCATAAACACTTTATCTCAGTTACATTTTTGGAAGGCACAGTACAGAAAACCCAGTAACACCTTAGAGACATTCTTGCTAAAAGCCAACATTGTTTACATCTGATTGTTTGTTTTCAGTACACCAAGTGAAAAGCTCTTGGGCCGTCTGGTGAAGGAAAAGGTAATTTTTTAAACTCTACTTTTAAAAAGCACTCAAGTCTCTTTCTGACACAAACTTAAACAACTATACCTTGTCACAGAAAATTACTATGATATACAAAAATCATTTGTATATCACGGTATTTGTGTATATTTTATAGTATGTCTCATATCACTGTAGGGTTTTAATGCATTTTTACCATTTTCTCTCTCTTTAAAAATTATTTTATTAATATTTGCAGTATGACACCGACTTTTATATTCTTGACAAATATCCACTGGCTGTAAGACCTTTCTACACAATGCCAGACCCAGCAAATCCCGTAAGTATGTCTCTTAGTATTGAAAAAAATGCTGTGAAATAATGACAAAATATGAACACATTGCAAATGTAACATGGAATTTGTGCCACAAATGTACCATAAACATACTGCAAGTTTACAGTCAGATATGGATAATTCCCAAAACTAAAATACCAATTTCCGTATTACACAGCCAATAGTGATCTTGTAATTCCTTCCTTTACTTCCCAGTGCATTGTGCCTGACTTACAAAATTATTGTGATTGTTTGATTATGTACTGTCAAGCCATTTTCAACTCTTAGCAACCACATAGATTTTCTCCATG